TTTTTTTTTTTTTTTTTCACACACTAAGCAAGTGAGACGAGGATATAATTTGTTGCTTTGGTTATAGGCCTCATTAGTTCTGTGCATCTTGTTATTGTCAGGTTTCTTTTCTGGTTGCACGGTTATGCTACTCGTCGCCATTGTTCTAAGAATAGAATATCAAAAACTATTAAAGAAGGAGGGAATGCAATACATGCAGAGCATATTTCCTCTTTATAGGTAAACACAGACCAATCAAAATCCTTAGAGTCAATACAAACATTTCCATAAGTTTTTACTTCTCTCTAAGTGGAATCCTTGCAGTGTATTTCTATACATCGTCCTACACATGCTCGTATATGCTGCGAACATATATTTCTGGAGAAGATACCGAATCAACAATCCGTTTATATTTGGTTTCAAGAGAGGAACAGAATTGGGCTATCGCGAAGTTTTCCTCCTTAGCACAGGTCTTGCTGTACTTGCCTTGTCTGGTTTTTTGGCAAACTTGCACCTGGACATGAACTCAAGTACCCAAGAATTTAAGAAAGTCACTGAACTGGTTCCTTTGGGCTTGGTTACTGTAAGATTCTAAAAGTAACAAAAATGTCCTCTTTGATATTGCTTTATATTACCATGGAAAAATTCTCTTTCCTCACCATTGTTGTCTAAATATTTCTTCCTTTGCAGCTTGTTCTTCTCATCCTTGTCTGTCCTTTCAACATCTTATACCGATCGAGTCGCTTCTTCTTCATTCGATGTCTGTTTCGCTGTATATTGGCCCCTCTGTACCCTATGACATTCCCGGACTATTTTTTGGCAGACCAGCTTACCAGCCAGGTTTGTCAAAGCTACTTTAGCTTTTAGGCCTTGCAATCATTGATGTATTATAAGTTTGTAGTTCTAATTATTGTATCTTCAGATGCAAGCTTTAAGGAGTTCTGTTTTGTACGTTTGCTATTATGGTTTGGGAGAATACTCTAGGAGGCAGAACAAGTGCCACAAACATGGTGTCTACAACACATTGTACTTTGTTATTGCTATTGTACCATATTGGCTGCGCTTCTTGCAGGTGTGTATTCGCTTTCCGTGTTTTTCTCTTGCAATTACTTTTCCCTCTACTATTCTCTTTCTTGACGCTCGTGGACGTATTTATTGGTCATCTTCTATTTTTGTTGCGGTTTCCGTTGTTTCTTTCATTTGTATTTGAACTGTTGTTTTCATAATTATTTGCCATATTCTTCTTTTATTGTCATTTATCCCATTTCACTTCCATATATAGTTTTTTTTCCGAAACTCCCCTGTGAAATGAATTTCTAGCCTTTTAGATCGAGATTAGATCAATATCTCCAACTTTTCATGGTGTAATGCAAGCTTTGAAAATCACATCTTTGTACATCCTTTTCTTTCAAATTAAGAAAATTCTAACAAATAAGCATATGTGCATGTGTAATGCAGTGCCTCCGTCGTTTATTCGAAGATAAAGATGCAATGCATGGGTACAATGGTTTGACATATCTTTCAACAATTGTAGCAGTTCTTGTTAGAACTGCTTTTGAACTGAAAGGGGGAGTCACTTGGATGGTGTTTGCTCTGATCAGCTCAACTGTTGCAATGATAGTCAATGCATATTGGGACATTGTCTTTGACTGGGGGCTCTTGAGAAGGCATTCAAAGAACATCTATTTAAGAGACAGACTTCTTGTTTCACATAAAAGTGTCTACATTGTTGCTATGGTAAGTGCATCAAGTGATTTAAGTGATGGAGTTTTTGGCACTTTGCCCTCTGAACTTACTCTATTGGTAATTTGCCGTCTGAATTTTTTACTGTGGCAAACTACCCTTTGAGTCTTAATAAAATATGGAGTGCCCCAAATTCATGAATCATGTTTGAGTTTGGGAGGAAACACTGTTAGATACTAGTTCTTAGGTAGTTAATGTCTAAGAGGGGTTTAGTGGGGAGAAAGGAATTAGTTTGGGTTTGGATGTAATTTCTCTGAAATTATGTTAGTGCTGATTTGTCTTGGTTTTGGCTAGGATTAGTAGAATGGTATAAGGAGGGGAGACAAGGGGCTGAATGGGGTATGCTTAGAATTGTGAGGGATTTGGAAAACCTTAAGAGAGTTGGTGGTCACTCGAATACCACCGAATTAGGAGTCCTGGAGTACTCGAATTCTCCCATCTATCCGTTTATTTTCCGTTTAGTAGGGTAATCAGTGTTTGCTAGTGTTGATAATAAAAGAACTTCTTGTTTCCTATTCAATTTCTCTGTAAAATTCGGGTTTGAGTGTGCGTTAGGCTGTGGAAAAGACCAGGTCTCTATCAAACACTCTCATGCATGTGACATGACGTGCTCCGACCACCATATGAAATTTCAGTATTTAAAAGAGCTCACCTAATGTATACGAGGACGTTTCCATCCAAATTTTGTCGGTTTTCATTTGGGGCCCTAGGTGAAGAGTTAAAAACGACACGTACTCATAATTGATAAGATCATAAGGATGTGTTTTCCGTTAGCTTAATGTTTGCTGTGATCAATCTGATATGTTTGTGGCATTTTGTGACACAGGTCTTGGATATAGTCCTGAGACTTGCTTGGATGCAGTTGATGCTGGCATTTAATCTGCACACCGTCCATAAACTGAGCATAACAACCACTGTGTTCTGCCTAGAAATTATTCGCCGTGGCATTTGGAACTTCTTCAGGTATGATCTTGAGAATCCTCGTCTCTTTGTTTTCAATCTACACTTCAACAAGCAGAAAAGAGAACTTAAATGCCCTTATTACAAGGTTACTTTACATCTTGTGCTTGGTCATTTTATTGAGTTACTGAACAAAATATGCACAATCAATTTGCTCAGGCTGGAGAACGAGCACTTGAACAACGTAGGGAAAT